ACGTACGTAGACACGAGCGCTCTATAAAATAAACTAGAAAAGTCGGAGCTGATTTATTCAGTATATGAAGAGAAAAATATTCTGAATCGAACTGTCGATTCAGATTTTCGAGACCTGCGCGCGGGCTGGGGTCCCACATCCAATATGGAGAGCAGAGTAAACCTGGCATTTGTTTATTGTTTTGAATTTTATCCACGAAGTCAAATGTATCTTTCACATAAGACGGTGCATCTTTGAGAGCTGGCGCTAAGAGATTGGCTAAGTATTTTGCTGTGTTATAATTATACGAGTCATAACATAATATAATAGGTCGTAAAGGCAGATTATTCTTGTGAACCTTTACAAGAAAATAAGCTTCTGGAGTTCTACTGCCTGTTCTTAGTCTCATAATCTTATAATCATCTTCAGTAATCAGTTTGTTTCTCTTTAATTTCAGTAGAAAATTAATAAATTCAAGCTCTCGTTTGATTGTCAAATTAGATTTCAATTTTTTAAAAGCTCTTTGGTCATTCAATAATTCTTGAGCTTTTGATAAATAATCATCTTTGTTTAACACCACGATCGTGTTCCCTTTATTCACTTTCGATACCACTAAATTAGAATCTTTAGATAAAGTAGTAATAGCTTCAGTTTCTTCTTTGGAAAGATTGCTAATCTCATGTTTCAATATTTTCTCAGTGTTCAAACCAACGTCATTCAAGAGTCCTTTGATTTTAGTAGCTGTACCAGGACCTTTCAATGAACCATAATGTTCAAGACTATTGTACATATACGCTAAATTACATTTGAGTGAGATGTAATGCAGTTCTAGTCCATAGATATATATTAATTTGATTTCTCAATTGGGATTCAGAGTCATTTACAACTACAGTTGCTTTCTTAAGCTGTTTCTGTTGTTCTTTATAATGATCGAATAACATTTTTCTCATATATTCTTTATACTTAGAACTTTTACTAAATTCTCTACTATAAGGCTTAAATCGAATGAATTTTGGATAAACATTATATAAGAGACTAACACGTATTCACCGTATCCACAAAAATCAAAATGATTCAGTAACTGAGTCTTTGTTAGATACAGACGTGCATAGAGTATCCTAGTTGACTATCCCCAAAAAGTCTCCGAGGAACGCCCGGAAAATGCCTGATCATCAGGACCCCTCATTAAGCTGCCCTCAAACCCCATGGGTTTCGAAATGTACATTACGCAAGCGGAATACTTGTCCCAAGTAACTGGGCACAAGTACGTTCTCCAGGGTAACGCTACCCAAATTTTTATGTTGGAAGTTATTTTAAATGTTTATTCAATATCTGATTTTCCACGACATCTTTAATTTTAGCAACGTTAAAATTAATAACGTTTGACTAATGAAACGTCAGCATACAGAAAAAGATAGCTGAAGATTAAAGTCGCGAAACTATCTGTGTTCGATTTTTAATTGTTGAATTGCAATAATTTATTTATTATTCATTAATATGTTTTCTGACTGTGCGTACCTCGCCCAGTTTAACTTTATTGCATGCAACGATTTTGTGGAAACCCGTAATGTGCTTACTTTCACGTCTCGTGTGAAGGAGGAGTATACGTTTATATGGGAAAAGAGACTTAAACATGACTATTTTTGACCTCTTCCCGTCAATCACGCTTGCGAACCACGTAATCGGACCTATAGTAACATAGGTGAAATAACGCTAATTGATTTTTTGTGGCTTCTATGAAATAGTACTAACTTAGAATTTGCAAATGTATTCTACCCTTCTTAGCACGTCGAAAGTTAATGTTTAGATCTGCAAGACAGAGGTGAAATTAGTATAAAAAACTGAAATCATCTCAAAATTTCAAATCAGAAACGAGCCTACATTAAAATCTGGAAACAAGAGTGGGTAAAACGATCGGTCTTTTCGCCAGTCTTTTCGCCAGTCGGTCTCAAAACCCTTAGATTCCCGGATTTTCTTGCAGATTTTCTTTTTTAAAGGGTTTTTGATTATGGAAAGATATTTTGTCTAGTCTTGGCTATAAAATAGTGAAAACCGTAAGCCTGTACCATTTTTCATTTTTTAAAAAAGTTATTCTAAAAGCAGTGAATACCACTGCTTTTTTAGCGACGATGATAGGAATATAATATAACGTATGGACCCCATTCAGATACGATCATGGAATAAAGTGACATTAATATGTTTTAAACGAAGCACGATGTCCGCTGTTTTTCGCGTTTTTTGGACAGTACTATTGCCTAGAGATGTCTATAGTCCCCTAGCATGAAGATATTTTCGTAACACAATATTTTGTTCATGCCACATGTAGTGATAGTCTCACTACTAGCAAATTGTTTTTGTCGCAGAAAATCAGTTTTCTAAACTTGAAGTTGAATTTGATTTTAAACTGCTCCAAGATGAATCTGACGGAACCAGAAGTTGAGAGGCATTAATAAATGATTTACAGTATGTTTTTGTACCAACTAACATTGATGAGAAAGAAGTTATTTTCAGCATTGAATATTCTACACTTGGTTTCAAGACTGAATACCATGACTACGAGCAATGTTATGTATGTTCTTATATTACACAAACGCTCTTTCATCACGGGATTGGTACATCGCGTCTTATGTATTTGTTTAACTTATCCATTTCTACATAATGAACTTAATATGATTAGAGGTGGTATACTTCTCACTCATCATCCAGTTCATATAAGTACTGATGAACTAAATCAAAAGAAAATATTTATGCAGGTTCCTTTTACTGCGAATGCCGCAAGTAATTTCAGCCATGACATACAGAAATTTACTAGAACAATTCAACCTGATACTGAATTGATTGTCAATCGGAAAACACATTCAAGAGTCCAAACTTTATTCAACTTAAAAGATAAAATAGAAAAATTGATGCGATCTAACGTGGCTTATAGTATCTCTTGTGCTGATTGAGACGCTATGTATATTAGACAGACGATATGACAGGCATGTAGACAAACATTTATTCGATGTATGTGCACGAAGCTAAAAATTTAAAGTATGGGTTGAATAGTGCAAGTTACCGATCCTAGTTACTGTAGCTGAGAGTGAGTAATTGTTTTCTGAATATTTGCAAAACTTTATGATTTATCTAAATTTTTATTAATTAGTAATGTTGTTCTGTCACTTTTGAGAACAAATTCTTCTAATATCTTGCAAACCTTCAGAAATGATAGAACCGTCTTCGACATATTTATAGAAAATACAGAGATGGGAGAAGGTACAAAGTTTGTCCCGAGATCTTTTTAGTTATATTGATAGATGACTATGTCTTTTAGTTTATTATTCAGTTTAGTGCTTTTGGCTGTGAGGATATCGATCCTCTAGTGGCTAACTCTAATCGTAGTAGTGAAGCTATAGTGAGAATCAACTCTCACTCCGATACCTTTATTTGAAGGAAAATAACGACTATATATAGTACAAAAGTTGAAC